CTATCTACCTACTCCAGGACTTCTGTGAGGATCAAAAGAGATGAGGCATGGGAAAACACTTCACAGACATTTGGTTAAAGTGTAAAATGTTTCTATATGGCTATAAAGCAAGTTGTGTTCCTGGGCTGAAGAAACTCCAAGGAGGTGAGTCGCTAGGGAGAGGAAGCCAGATATTGCTACATGATGTCATTACCCAGAGCCCACAGCCACCGTTTCTGGGCTGGGCTGGGCTTTGGGCTGCATTTTGTGCCATGGGGTCTTGGCAGTGTTGGCTGTGATTTGGTGGGGTGTCATTCTGAGGTGGTGGTGGGGCCTGTGTCCCACTTGGGGGAAGCCAAGTGTTTGTGGGTGCCAGGTCCATGGTGCCATTTCTCTGTAAATGGCCAGTGCATGTCACAGCAGCTCCTGCATTGAGCATCTGCCCCCTGGTGGTCAGTGTGTCATAGCAACTGGTTGGACAGTCGGACACTGCATATTAGCCTTTTATATATATATATACACTAGAGGCCCGGTTCACGACATTCATGCACTGGGGGGGAGGGGGGAGGGGCGATGCCTCAGCCCGGCCTGCATTCTCTTGCAGTCCGGGACCCCTTGGGCTAAGCCAGAAGGTGGACATCCCCTAAGGGGTCCTTAGCGCTGCTGTGGAGGCAAGAGAGACTCCTGCCACTGTCGCTGCACTTGCCAGCCTTGAGCCCGGCTCCTCCTGTGGGAGTGCACTGACTACCAGGGAAGAGCTCCTGCATTGAGCGTCTGCCCCCTGGTGGTCAGTGCACATCATAGTGACCATCGTTCTGCTGTTCAGTCAATTTGCATATTAGCCTTTTATTATATAGGATTATTATATAGGATAGGATGGGTCAGAATCTTCTCATTTATCTGATAAGAGTAAAAAAAAATGCCTCAATCAGTTGTAATTTGGTAAACTAGAAGCATAGGTGGATTTGACTTCAGGATTCTATTGCATTGCAAATATGACCTTTCCAAGCTCTGAGACTTACTGTACTTGAAAGTATAATTGTCCAAGGGACAAAATCAAAACATGAATTTCAGTAGTCAATAGATGTTAAGAACTTAAAACACATCCTCAGCTATGATTTAATATGACTTTTAAGAGTATTCCATATAGAAATATTTTATGTAACAATATTACCATCACCTTACCATCTGTATTTTAGATATTACAAAAATGAGACTTAGTGGGATTAAAAGACTTGTGCAAGATCACATAATTGATTGGTGTTATTCATTCTATCTAAATGAATCAAGCACATCAGATTCATAATCTCCTACTTGTATTTTCATCTCATGCTATAGACTCCTGAGCCACTGAGCTTGGTTTCCTTTCAAATAATCATAGTTCTTAAATTGTTCATTTCCTCACACATAATTTTTGACAGAACTACATATATTAAAGTATATTGTTTTGTTTAAGTAGTACTTCTGGGTGCATTTTAAATATTGTATCTTAATCAGCATTGATACCATTCTGATTATTATCATTAACATTGGATGTATGGGGATACAATAGTAGACCAAAACAAATGTTGTCCCTGTCCATTACAAAGCTTATTATCTAAGCAATTAATCATACACATGTATATATGCAATGATGACCAGCTCTTTGAATCAGAGTTGCTGAGTACTCAGAGAGCATATAATAGGGAAAGTTAGTAGAGTCACGTAGGTGATGGAAAGCCTTCTTGAGGAAATAACACTTGAGCAGAGATTTGAAAAATAAGCTAAAGTGAACAAGACAAAATGGGAGGCATGAGCATGCCATGGGATTAAGCAACATGGCAAGCATGAGGGACTCAAAAGAGACCAATATGGCTAGGGGGAAGAAATGAGATGAGTCGGGTATGAGATGAAGGATAATGTAAGCATAGGCCAGACCTTGTAGAGCTTTTAGGTCACATTACATTTTCTTGTTCTACCCAAAGACCACTGGAGAGTCATAATGTTAATCAAGAGGTGTGACATAATCAGGTTTGGATTTTTGAACAGTCATTCTGGCTGCAGTGTAGAGAATGAGGTGAAGGACGATGTGCTGTTGGTCCAGGTAGATCAGTAAGGTAGCTATTGCTGCAATAGAAGCAAGAAATAAAGGTAGGTCAACTGGAGTCATAGTGGTTGAGATGGAGAGAATGGTCAGATCTTGGAAATATTTGAGAGATAAAATCAATAGGGTGATAAATGAATATGGTGGATGATGTAAAGGGAGTCTTAGAGATGATGCCTTGGTTTTTGGTTGGTGACAATGAAACAGGCACAGTAGAATAGAAACATCATTTGGAGGAAGTATTAAAGATTTGATTTTGAAATGTGGAGTTTGAGGAGCCTTTGAGACATTCAACAGGAATTGTATAGGGAGCAGTTAGATATACAGGTCTGGATAGAAACACATATTTGTATATCATCTATATAAAAGGATATTGTAAGTTATGGATGGGCATAATATTGTATACTAGTAAGTGAGTGTAGTATAAGAAGAGAGGGCCAAGAATATAGCCTTTAGGAAATTCAACTTTCGTAAGCCAGGTAGAAGAGGATATGTCTGCCAAAGAGATAGAACAAGAGGCAAGCCATGAGTTCACTGTGTCACAGAGTCAAGGGAGGAAAGTACTTTGAGAGCAGAGTGCTGGTTGCTAGGGACAGAGAAGAGGGGGGAGTGGGGAGCTATTAATCAAAAGGTATCAAATTTCAGTGGTGCAAGATGAATATGCTCTAGAGACCCACTGCATGATATTGTGCCCATAGTTAACAATATTGTACACTTAAAAAATCTCTTGAAAAAGTAGATATCATGTTAAGTGTTCTTACCATAATAAAACTTTTTTTTAAAAAAAGACCGAGGTGTTCAGTGTCATGAAACTGTCAAGTATGATGACAACAAAAAATATCCTTTAGTTTTGGTTACATGGAATTCAGTGGCAGACTTAGTGAGAGCTATTTCTGTGAATTGATAGAGCTGGAATCCAAATGGAGGAGAGCTCAGAAGTAAAATGAGGAGGCTAGACTAGATCCTCTCTAAAGTTCATTCCAACTCTAAAATAGTTAATTTCATGCTGTTAGCCAGAGTGTCCCTTTGTCACAGGTTTCCCTACCCACCCTACTCCTGGTTAATAAGAAGATTGCTATTGAAAGAAATTATTTGCAAAGACTATCTTACTTTGAGCAGCATTACAACCTCAAATCAATTTGGGACAAATCATTTTCTTCTACTTTCACACACACACACACACACACACACGCACGCACACGCACACGCACACACACGCACACACACACACAACTTTTGGAAAGAATCTTGAGCATAAAAATCTTGTATGGTTTTTCCATAGCACCAACTGGAATTAATTTTATTTTGGGGGTTAGGACTGCAAGGATAAAATCAGGTCTAGAGTTTCCATGTGGGTGAATTTGGAAGTGAACAGATTCGAAGCTACAGTCCAGAGATGTCTCAAAACTACACTACACTGTCTTCCTTTTAAATTGAATCACTTTTTCTGGGCTTTGAGAGTTAAGAGAACACATCTCAAAGAATTGATTTTGTATGTAAGCAGAATGCTTGGGCACTGCTGCTTTTCATTAAGGAGAAGTTCCTATATTTTCACTGGCTTGGTGGGAAAGAAATCCAATAAAAGGGTGTACAGACCGTTGCTACTCAAAGTGTGATCAGTGGACCAGTTGCATGAACCTCAGCTAGGAACTTGTTAGAAATGCAGCATCTCAAACTACCACCTCAAACCTACTAGATCAGAAACTGCGTTTCAACAAGATTCTCGGTCATTTATATTAACAAGAAAAGGTGAAAAGAACTCACAATTCCTTCTCATATTTTTTTCTACTTTTTAAAAATATGAAATTCTTTGTTACTCTCCTATGAAATTCAAGCTGATCTTGGGGAGATTCATCATTTATGGACTAAAAATTAATCATATTCTTTTTTAAAATTAAGACCTGCAGTGGAGTGCCAAGGTGACTAACAAGGTAATTTTACAGACAAATGTAGCTTATTCACCCAGCTCGTGGTTAAACATGCATTTTTCAGTTCCCCTTACCAGAAGCTGCTAATTACTTGCACTGAACTATTTACCTTTCCTCTTTTATTATTAATAACACTTATAATTTTAATTTGAAATAGCAAGATTACCTGTCATGCTATTTTCTGTCTCTTTAGCCAATTTAGAAGAACTTCACTGTATTACATGACCCTCCCTAGTGATTAACATCTGGAATGGGCAGATGAAACCACCCACAGTCTCACCCTTCCTCGCTCCATTTCTTATGCGGAGCCCTACTCTAACCTTTAACCAGGGCAGGAAAAGATTGCTACTGCCCCCTTCTGGCCCATTGTATTTTTTCTTCTTCTACAAATCTGAAACTTCAAGCGGATGCCCAAGGATTTTGAGCCACTGAAGAAAACTCAGCGGAAGGGGTTTTCCCTAGTAGAAAGGTAAAGAGATACTTTGGGAACAGGCGGCTAAAATCAAACGAAAACACCCAATGGGTGAGGAAGGTATAAAGAGCTTCTAAATTAATGTGTCAATCCCCACGAATCTTTCCCTGCACACGGGCTTCTCTATGCCACGGAAATATCCCCTGCTCTTCAGCACAGGACTCCCCTTCGCTTCCAGGTTCTACTCATAGTGGACAACCCACTCCCCTATTATAATTCCAGTACTCCAGATCCTGTTTTGTGCTTCCCCCAATTTCGTTTCCCCACGCCTAGACCTCATTCCCTTCTCTTTTCTGCTTCAAACTCCTGTCCCGCCCACCCACCGACAGACTCGCGTTTCCCGGAGCTCAGACCCTCCTCTCCTTCACCCACTCCGTCTACCCTGACCTCTGCTCTTCCTTGGTTGTCATCGCACCCCCTTCAGCACCCCGTAGCTGAGCGGGCAGTCACTCTTCGCCTCTGAATGACAGACATGTCCCCTCTTGAATGCCTCTCCCCGACCCCCGCCCCAAGCGACTGAAAAAGGAAACATGCGCACTTCAGAGCTAGAAGCTGTCCTAGTGCTGAAATTTATAGGCTGGGTAAGATCACGTCTCGGTCTCTTTCTGTAGCCCTCATTCCAGCACAGGATCTCAGCATCTTTGCTCTCTTCTCCCTACCCACTCCAGCTCGCAGAGTTCTTTCGTCTCCCTCATTTACAACTTATTTTAAAAAGAGAACATTTTCCAGAGAAAGGGGATTTGCTAAACAGAAAGGACTTAAAAGCCACAGCAACCAGACTTCCAGCATGGCATTGTCACCAGCCCCCTTTGCATGGTGATGCGATTAAGGTAGCAGCTTTTTTTATTATTTAGGAAAAGCAGCTGGGGGATCATCAGTTCTAAGGCTTTGTCTTTCCGGGGTTAACTGATGGTCCCGAGCCCGGTTTGACCCAACCACGATGCTTAGTACTGGCACTTTTTGTTTTTTCTCAGCAAACTATACAAACCCAAATCTCTTTCTGATTTTCAAGGAAACTAGATTCCTGCCAGGTTTTGAGTCTGGACAATAGACAGATACTTTGTCCTAGCTTCTTTCTGGAATCATTTCGGGGATATTTTCCACAAGATCACAGAAACAGGAATGAACCGGCAGCTAGTGAACATTTTGACAACCTTGTTTGCATTTTTCTTAGAGACAAACCACTTCAGGTAGGTGAAAAGACTTTGCATGTTGATATTTTCCACATGAAAACTGTTTGAAAGATAAGATGTCATACAGTTTTTCTCAATTTCCTATGCCCGAGACCATATTATTTTAATTTTATGGGAGAGAGTTAGATTTCTTTTGTTCTTTTAAAAAGCTTAATTATGGTGGGAGGGGTGTAAATTTTCACAAAGGCAAGTTTTATGGTGTATAACCCCACTCTATGCATTTCAACATATTTTCACAGCCAATGTGATATTAAAGTAGTCTGATGAGTTGCATGCTCTTTAAATTTCTATATAATGGTGAATTTTTTGCTTTCAAATTCTTCTGGAAGTCATTTAAAAGGATCATGTGGTGGAAGTGATTGGATTAATTTGCCAAGATCATGCTCATTTTATATGAGATATAAAAAAACCCTAATTCTTAGCCAACTTGGGACTTCTATTGTATTTCAGCAACTAAATGCATACTATGAGGACTACAATTCAGGAAATTTTTTGAAACATCAGTAACATTTCAAATCTCATTTTGCCACTATATTTTACTGTTCAGTATAGTTGAAATTGATTGCCTACCAAAATGTAATTAAAATGACATCTTTGTATCTATATATGCATGTGAAATAGACTATGAATAATTAAAATAAGTGAGAAATCATTATTTGCATGCTTGCATTTTCTACCTAATTTAAAAATTGTCAAATCAATTGATACTTCAAAATATTAGATTATTACCAATAAATAAAATAGCCAACCTAATGAAAGATAGATAGGAGATGTTCATACAACAAAGTGTAGAACTCTTCATTTAATTTTCACCAAATTTTATGGTATTTTTTCACAGAACCAAGAGAAATGAAACATATAGCAGCAATGCTCTGAGTACTGGGAAAACCCACTACGTTCCTTTCAGGTTCACACCTCCTACTATGATTAAGAAAAACTGTAGGCTGGGTTTTATTAGAATCATCATCATCATCATCATCATCATCATCTTCACCTTCACCACCATCACCACCACCATCATAATCAAATAGTACTTGATTAATCAGATGATTCTGCATATAGGAATGTGAGTATTTCTAGATGATCATATCAATTTTTTAACTCCTACCAAACGTTTGCATCATCTTTGCACTTATATTTAATATTACTTCTTTGAAAAACTGGAAATAATGTGGTAACTTTTTTAGTTATAAAATTAACAAGACTTAAATTATTAAAAACAAAGCTTGTAAAATTTCTTCAGGGTAGAAATCAACATTCAGTCACCACTATATATTGTGAAATAATTCATTTTTACTACAAACTAAATATGCTCTTTTTTTATAAGCCCTTTCAGGAAAATAAAAATTTTCCGACCAACATTCAGTATTTTTGATCATTCAAAAGAGAAAATAATTTAGAAGTTCTTTTCTATGAATACTTTATTCCAGTTAACAATTTAAATGCTTATGTATAAATAACAACTGATACAATAATAGAAGTACAGGCATGCTCATTGTTGACCTATTTTAGAATGAAGTTAAATTTCCAAGTGAAGATTTTCTTTTAGACATCACATTGAAAAGTATTAATAGTTGATAGCTGGAATAGAATCTAGCAGGTGAGAAAATAAGCAATGGGATGATTAGTTCATGCTTACTTTGTTCTGTCTATATTTCTTATAAAAAGTAGAGGACTTATTTTAAGGGCTAAAATGCTGGAAGAATCTTTTTTAAATTCATGAGGTAATGATTTTAAGACAATCACCTAAATTTTAGAAGTTATCATCTTCATTTCTCTGTTGACTCTAGAAAGAAATAACGTCAACTATATGTCCATAAAATCTATACTCTATGCATATTGTTTCATCTTAAACATCTTATGTATGGCTGAAGTTTAAAAACTTAGGAGATATGACTCAGAATTTGTACCTCTCATCATTTAAAGTTAACTCTAGACCAGAAGTTGACTAAAGAGTTTGTAATTTATTTTCTTCTTAGTAACATATCAAATATATTTACAAAACATTCTGTGAGTATTAGTTCTTAGGTGATGAGAATGGAATTATTGCTAAAAAGATTTAATGATGTGTTTAGGGCAGCTTTCTGCAAAGACCATGACTCCAGGTCTGGAAAACAACCTTCGCAGACCCTATCTCCTTCAGATTTCTTGGACAAATTAATGGGAAGGACATCAGGATATGATGCAAGAATCAGACCAAATTTTAAAGGTACGTTTTACTTAAACTTATGTTAAGCCTGTGGGAAATCTTCTAGACATTTAAATATTCTTTAAAAAGTTTTCAGGTCTTTTTATTATAAAATGGAAACAAGTATAGTATTTATTTCAATTTGGAATTCTTTTGAACTAGTCTATTTAATAGCTTTAATTTTACATGTTGCTTGCAACTTTTGAAAACTTTCATTTGTGTTCTGTTTCATAAAGAAAGCTAATGTCAGACATTATTACCACATTCCCTATTTTCTCTTAAGTAAGAGTGTGATTGGAAATGAATACAATAGCAAATGATGGCCTTCACTTGTATGAATGTCTAGCAGGACTCATATAAGATTCAATGGTTACACCAAAATCCTTGGTTTGGGTTTTAAATACCTATTCCCAAAGTAAAGATTAAATCTCAGCATAAAACATGCCATTTTACACATTTTCAGGCCTCTCTAATTTTTAAATATTGTGAAAGGAGGCTCTAATACCACATCAGAAAATTTTGATTTCCTCTTGTTTAAACATTCTTATTGTTTATTTGACATATCTGAAATTAACACAGAAGATAACAGAATTATAAAGTGCACATGTCAAAGATGATACTTTCTTTGTTCAATTAGAAACAAACCAAAAAATTTGGTGTTTTTGTTGAACATTACAAAAATGTAATTAATAGTCTGAAGAAATTATTTTTTAACTTATTTGGTTTATTCTTATTCTGAATCAGAAAAATACTGTAATAAGAACCAATCACTAATAATTGGATTATTTTTAATCTTTTAATTTTTAAATACATATTTTAAATGCTTTAATTTTTTAATATATATATTTTAAATGACAATTGCATTTTATCTTATACTTTAATATAATGCATTGTGAAATGTTTATAATATTTTATGAGGAGAAACCTATTATATTCTAGATGTTATGTCACAGTCCATGCATTGCTTTGGTTCTGCTTATTAGAAATTTAATTGGTTTGCTTTCCTTGAGTTTTGATTAATTTTTATTATTAGCAAATGTGAGCATAAAAACTAAATTCTAAATACATTTCTTCTTTAAATGCTACACCTCTGAATATACCCAGCTAAGAACACATTTCATAAAGAAATACATCAGAATTTTGACAAAACATGTTTTTTATTTATAAGCTATTTCCAAAAGAGACAACAGAACTAAGTTCAAAGCTTGATTTTCCTGAAAACAATTTTCATATTCATCCCATTTCATATTAATTTTGTGATCATTGCTTTGGAAGTCAATATTTGAAACAAAATCCTATGAGTAACAAGAATCAGCTTTCAATGGGACTGCTCATTCATACATTTATTCACTTAGCTATTCAATAACTCTGGAGTCTGAACTATATGCAAATACTAACTCCTGCATGCTTTGAGAAGTGGAAAGATGACACAGGTTTGAGTGCTACCATAAAAATTTTCAGTAAGGAGATTAGATGTTACATGAATATTTATCTATATATCTATATCTCTCTCTATATATATATGAAATATGCAAATTAGGCCGGGACACCATAAGGTAGTGGTTCTCACCCTTCCTAATGCCATGACCCTTTAATACAGTTCCTCATGTTCTGGTGACCCCCAACCATAAAATTATTTTCGTTGCTACTTCATAACTGTAATTTTGCTACTGTTATGAATCATAATGTAAATATCTGATATGCTATGTGTTTTCCGATGGTCGCGACCCACAGGTTGAGAACCGCTGGGGGTCACGACCGGACAGGAGGAGGTTGCGCACGCAGGTGAGGCCTGGAGCAGAGAAGGGGACAGGGACAGGGGGTCCAGCGAGCCACCATGCCCCGCCTTGGGCCGGCCCCCCAGAGCTGGAGCAGACATGGACAGGGACGGGGGGCCAGCCCACAGCCTCCGCGGCCGAGTGCAGGCCCGGAGAGGAGACAGCGGGCCTGCCTCCCACAGAAGCAGCAAGGCTCCCTCCTGCCTCCCGCAGAAGTGGTGTGGCTCCTGTGGGCACAGCGCAGCTCCCAGCAGTGCACTACGGTTCCTGCTGGCTCCCGTGGAAGCGGCAGGTGGCCTACTGCACGCGATATCACACAATGGACTATTAGTAAAATATAATGATACTAGAGGCCTGATGCACAAAAATTTGTGCACTCGGGGGGGTCTCTCAGCCCGGCCTGTGCCCTCTTGCAGTCTGGGACCCCTCGGGGGATGTCCACCTGCTGGCTTAGGCCCGCTCCCCAGGGGATTGGGCCTAAGCTGGCAGTCAGACATCCCTCTGGCAGCCTGGGAGCCCTCAGGGGATGTCCACTTGCCAGTGGGGAGCAGGCCTAAGCTGCAGTTGGACATCCTTAGTGCTGCTGAGGAGGCGGGAGAGGCTTCTGCCACCACTGCTGTGCTGGCAGCCATCAGCCTGGCTTGTGGCTGAGCAGAGCTCCCCCTGTGGGAGCGCACTGACCACCAGGGGACAGCTTCTGCATTGAGTGTCTGCCCCCTGGTGGTCAGTGTGTGTCATAGTGACCAGTCATTCCCAGTTGTTCTGCTGTTAGGGTCAATTTGCATATTACCCTTTTATTATATAGGATAAGCTATATATTACATAGAAGTAAAGTAATTAAGAGTTAAGTAACATTAGAAAGTACAGATAAAATACTACAGGTTTCCAACAAATGAAAAGATGATTTCCTATTAAGCTATTCATGGAAAGCTTTATAGAGAAGGTCCAGAGATGAAAAATTGTTTCAAGTTCATGAGCATCCTGTTTAACAGCAGTTATTATTATTTTCTAGAAATAATTCTTCAAAAGGAGATACAAGTACAGAGAGTGATAAAACATCCATTTTGCCATTGCTACTTTAAGTAACCATATAGGATGAACAATCATTTCCATACACATGCTTTTTCTCTGGTTCTTCTGGGGATGTCACCTTTTGGAAGTGACATTTCCCATTGTTCTAAAGGATAAATAAATAAGGGGGATATCAAGTATAGTAAAGTATGGTCATGTTTTGAGATCTATCCACTACTTGAAGACCTGAACACAGGATGTTTAAAGACTTATAAAAGGGAAATATGTGGATATCATTTAAGACTCCATTATTAGTGGACTTCACTGAGTTTTGTCTCCCTCTCCCTTTATATCCTCATTTCAATGAACCCTGATACTCTTTCATAAATTTTATTTACACAGACAATTTATAACAGATCAATTACCTAACAGTTCCCACAATTCTCGTTACTCTTAGGATCTTGGCTTTTCCTGTATATAGAACATTCCCCATTATTTTAGACAAAAACAATTATCTCTCCTTAGTGTTTCCATAAAACTTTATGTTTAATATGGTTCTTTAGCATACTTATGTTTTATCTACCCACCCCTACACCACATCTGAGAGGGCAGTGAGGTATGTTATTATTTATACTGATGATGCTGATGATGATGATGATGACGACGACAATGAAGAAAATGACAATGATCATGATTAATAAGAAGACAGAAGGGCAATATTTGACCACAAGAATAAAATCAATAGCCAGATATGGGCTGCTGAGGCAAAGGGAATGGCTTTTCTAGAAGTCTTACTAAATAATAGCACATTTCTGTTTCCTTGCTGCCATGCATTGGCAAGGGAGAAAGAAATGCATATGCATAATTTTTCTTATTGGAAGGCATTTCTCCTTCATACTTTCAAGTCAGTAAAATGTATCGCATCTATTCAATGTCCCTGATAGACTCTGAAAGATGTCATAATGGGGATACATATAAGAAGGAAGATGGACGTAAGCTAGAAAAGGGAAGCAGAGACATGATTCAGACTTAGGTCTATAATTGAGAGCCATTCTTAGAAGCTATAGGGAGAAAATAGCTTTTCTGATGTGAAGTATAAGTGTATAAACAAAGTCATGAGTCAGAGTTGCCAATTGCATTACATCTATAAGATCCATAGAGACCTGGGCCAGATCTTGTTAAAACATAAATTTTCAAAATCCTCAGTTCAGATAAAAACACAAGCTATGACTACCTGGTTTTGAAACTATGGTAAATATAGATTTTATGCCAACAGATGAATCTTTTTCCCCACTTGGGTGTTTTGTCTCATTGTCAGTTGATTTATCATGATGTTATTCTATCATTCTATCAGCTATTCCTTTGTCAGTATTATTGTATCTTGAAAATGCCACTTTAAACATTAAGCTTTTAAAGAAGCCAAATGAAATGCTCAAACCCGAGCAAAATGCATTAGTTCTAATTCTCTGTCTTTGAAACAAAGCCTTTATCTATTGTAATGAGATTTGCTTTGAAAATTAAATTAACTTGGAGTTATATCCTAAGTTTCATCCCAATATGAATAAATACATTTCACTATAACATTCATTTTGGAATAGGATCTTGAAAAGATAAAGCCAGGAGATAATTATTCACTTCACTTCTTTGTGCATGCCATGCACACAATTCCCCCCACCCCCACCCATGTCTGGAGACCTAAATCTGAAAGTGTGATGTGTGACATTAAAACCTACATTTGCATGCAATTTGGCTTCCTTCATTTCCCAAGAAGATATCAGCTCAAGAGGTGTTTCAGATATAAGTAGAAATAGATACCCTTCTAGAGCAACTAAAGGTCTTCAGGTTTCTCCCCTTGGAAATTCTCTTATCTGTAGCCATGTAAACCTCAAACTCAAATGTTGTGCTTACCAATCCCTGTAGGGGGTGGCTTGAGCACAAATGTCCATCCAGTAGGGACTCTTGGAAAGAGTGATTTTCTCACTGATAAAGTAGCTATAGTGTGATCACTTCTTTGATCATCCTGGTAGATGTGGGCATCGCATATTAATATGAAGAGTAAAATGTTTTCAAGTATCAGAAGTATTTGACCTGAGTACAGAAAGTAGCAGTAGCCTTCAGGCATCTGAAAGGGTAAAGCCATTTTAGAATATGACAACAGGAGATAAAAGGAGAAGAAAGGGATATTGAAAAGAAAGGGATATTGAAAAGAAAGGCTGTAGATAACAAAGGGAA